TCTAACAAATATCCTTAAGCTGCCTCTCACTGGCTTGACTTGGGTAAGGTGTTCGTTTTGAGCCAGTCACTGAGGACAGTGAGAGTGGTATCCTGATTGCCCGGGTCTGGATCACATGACTTCTCCATAGTTAGCCAAAAATGGGGTAATATAAAATAAAGGGACAGGATGGGGGAACACCCAGGGCAATTGCTAGAAGAAGGAGGAATGAATGCTAGATGGGAAATGACAGATGTCCTCCACAGAACTTTCAAAGTATGCTCCACAGCCAGCCACCTTGAATTTTCTGAGAATCGAAGACATGGAGAAGAGGAGGTTTGGTAAAGGCAGTCATGCACTGCCTAGCATTTTAGTCAGCAATGCCTGGGACGGTCCCTTAAGACTGTAACAGCTAGGGACTATGGCTGGCTTAGCTTGGGTAAGACACTGCAGTGATCACAAAATGACTAAGTGACGTAATGATGTGTTCTCAGAGTGCATCCCTGGTAAGTGACACAGGACTATATTTAGACAGTGGAGTAAACAGAGCCAGGTCAGGCTTGAAGCATTGGGAAGGGAGGGAGAGCTCTTGGCGGCAAGCAACAGAAGGGACTCTAGTTACTTAAACAGAAGGGAATTGACTTCTTCAGAAGGCCGTTGGGGTTCCCCACGTCAAGAAGAAGGACTACAGGGGAATGAATTAAGACCACTGAGGACCAGGAAGCAGGAAGTACAGCATGATTCCCAGAGCAGACACTGCTGTCCATCTGACAGCCATACCTCTTTGCCTTGTTTGCAGAGTCCAGGTTCTGTTCCAGTAGCCACCTTACTTCCTGTCCCTTTGACCTAACTCCAGGGTTAATTGTTCTAAACCAGTTATGGGGATCCCCTTAGCCTTGTTAGAGCTGGTTTAACATGTCATGTGACTCAATTTTGGCCAATGAGCCATGAGGGGAGGTTTCTAGGGATTTCCCCCCCAGAGAGAGGATCTTGCTATGTAGCCCAGGATGACCTCGAACTAGTGATCCCCCTGCTTCTTCCAAGTGCTGAGAGTACAAGCACGTGCCACCATGTCCAGTTTATTTTTTTAGTGGGAGTGGGGTTTGAACTCAGGACCTCACCCTTACTAGGCAGGCCCTCTTACCCAGCCTTTTTCTGTGACAGGTTTTTTTCAAGATAGGTCTCTAGAACTATTTGCTCAAGGCTGGCTTCAAACCGCAGTCCTCCTGATCTCTGTCTCCTGAGTAGCTAGGATTAGAGGTGTGAGCCACTGGTGCCCAGCTGTTGAGATTTCTTTTTGAGCAAGTGTCCTCATTACTAAGAAGTAGTTAATGAGGAGGAGGGGGTAGGGGGAGGGGGAAGGTGGCCCAAACACTGTATACACATGTAAATGTAAAAATGATAAAAGAAAAAAAAGATAAAAAGAACACATACACACACACAAAAAGAAATAGCTAGTATAAGGGAATAATGTTCATCTGAACATTACTGAGTTTGGATGTGACTCCTGGAGCTGTGACAGCCATCTTGACCATGAGGGGAGTCAGCCTGAAGGTTTTTGCACACTGAGGAACAGAGAAAAGAGAAAGATTCTTGATGACATTGTCAAACTACTAAAAGAACTTTTCCTGGAGTCCCTCCCCTCTTGTGATGTGAAAGGATCGTTTTGAATTTTCTTTCATTCTTTCTTTTTTTTGTGGTACTAGGGCTTGAACTCAGGACTTACACCTTGACCCACACCACCAGCTCTTTTTAGTGATGGGTTTTTTTCAAGATAGGATCTCACAAACTTCTGATTTCTGCCTCCTGAGTAGCTAGGATTACAGGTATGAGCCACCAGCACCCAGCTGATTTTGATTTTCCAAAAGCCCATGAATATCCACCTTTGGTTCCAAAGCTTACGCTACCTACCAGGCACCCTGTGTTCACATTCCTCATTTAACGTGCTGCATTCAGGTCTCTGTGAAGTTGTGTTACTCACTCTACCTGGAAGCCCCTCCTTCCCTTTTTCCTGCAAACCCTTTCTGTTCAAAAGGCCCCTTCCATCCTGGGAAGAGCTGACTTCCCCCAGGCAGAAGGCACCAATGCGGATCTGACATAGGACCCAGATGCCTCGAAGAACTGACAAGGGGCTTTCACCCTGGTGAGCATTACTCTGTGTCTCACAGCTTTGCTTTCACCAGAGACTTAACAACTGTCTGCTCTACATGTTCCCTTTGAAACCAGTGGTTGAATAGTTGTCTCTACTCCACTGCCCTCCTTGTACTGTGCTTCTGTTCCAAGAAGTCTTCCACTGCCAGCAGAAGTAGTAAAGTGCTATTGTCTCTCTTCATTTCCCAGGGAGGTCTCCTTTGATTGAGGGTCAGAAGTCTATTCAAATTGGCTTTATCAGCTGGGTGTGGTGGCACACACCTTGGGAGGCGGAGGCAAGAGGATGTGGAGTTCCAGGCCAGCCTGGGCAAATTTAGCAAGACCCTGTCTCAAAAACAAAATACAGATAACAAAAGGGCTGTGGGCATAGTTCAGGTGGTAGAGCACCTGCCTGGCAAGTTCAAAGCTTGCTAGTATGGGGTGGAGGGACTTAGTTTTATTACCTCATATGATTGAGACATCTTAAGACTACTTCCAGTTGTAGGATTTAGGCTGTCAAAGTCATCAGGAATCAGCTCCATCGGTATTAGTTATCAAGGGTTGTATACAAATACCCAAAAACTTGGGGATTAAGAGAAAACAATAGTGACCTCTCTCACCCTTTCTGCTGACCAGGTATCCGGGAGCAGCTGAATGAGTCTAGCCAGAAGTTAGCCATGGTTTGGGTACAGCTGTGTGTCTCAAGGTCCCAAGGTAGTCATGATGTAAGAATGTGGTGTGAACGTTTGAGGGGTGCAGCCTCTGGTCACTGAAGGCATTGACCTTGAGAGGGATTGAAGAACCATCTCCTGGGATCCTGGTTAGTTCTCACCAAACAGTTCTTAGAGGTAAGCCCTGACCTGGCCTCTTCCTCTGACTTCCTGTATCAAGATGTAATCAGTTGCCTGGAATCCTAGCTACTCAGGAGGCAGAGGTCAAGAGGATCTTGGTTCAAAGTCAGCTTGGGCAAATAGCTCTTGACACCCCTCTAAAAGCCTATCACAAAAAAGAGCTGATGGAATGGCTCAAGGTGTAGACTCTAAGTTCAAACCCCAGTACTACAAAAAAAAAAAAAATGTAATCAGTTACCTGGGCACAGTGGTTCACACCTATAATCCTAGCTACTTGGGAGGCTGAGATTGGAAGGATCAACATTCAAGGCCAGCCCAGGCAAATAGATCAAGAGACCCCCATCTCCAAAATAACCAGGGCAAAATGGACTGGAGGTGTAGGTCAAGTGGCAGAGGGCCTGTTTTGCAATCCCAAAGCCCTGAGTTCAAACCCAGTCCAACAAAAATAAATAAATAAATAAATAAAATAAAAGATGTAATCACTTCCTCCCACGTGTGTTGTGGCCACTGCAATCTGCCTTAAGGAACTGTGGCCAAGGAGTGCTCTTGGGACAGCCTGTGCCATGTTGCTTGGACTTTCAGCCTTTTGCTTGGACTGTGAGCTTTTTAGCTCACAGTGAGCTAAATAAACCCACTTACTTCATAAGCTAGTCTGTCTTGGGTATTTCATTATAGTAATGGAAAGCTAATAAAAGGTCTGTCATGAGATTGCAAGTCAGATGTCAGTCAAGGCTGCAGTATTAATTTCTGAGGTGGCTCATTCACACAGGTGTCCATTTGGTGCTAGTTGCTGACAGAAACTTTACTTTCTCCCTATATGGGCCTCTCTACAGGATGGCTTGACTTTAGTCCTCATAGAGTGGTCACTGGCTTCCCCCAGAGTGAGTGATCCAAAGATCAAGACAGAAACTGCAATGCCTGATATGACTTGGGCTGGGAATTCTAACACTATCAATCCTGCCATATTCCACTGGACGCAGCCCAGCTCTGACTCAGGGTGGAATAGACTGCACAAGGACAGTCCCAGGAGGTGAGGACCAATGGGAACTATGTTAGAGGCTGCCTGCCATGGCATTTCTTTGCCTTTCCTTCCCTGTTTGCTTTGCTTTTCCTTTTAAGTAGGCTCATTCTCAGGCCCTTGAGCAGTGACAGGGACAGGCAGGCAACATTTCCAGGCCCATGGTCTACCTGCTCAGTGACCCCAATGGAAAGAAAGTATGTTTACCCCAAAGTTCTGGAAAAAGTCCCAAGGCAGATCTGATTGGCCTAAATTGTATACATGCTCATCTCTGAACCAATCATTGTTGTTTAGAGATGCCATGCTGTGATTGGCTAGAGACAGTCCATGTCATGTACTGATTGGTCAGCCATAGGTCACACCTCCCAGCCATAGATACAGGGTAGGGTTGATAGCACTAGAGGCCCATAAGAGGAGTTGGGATGATAGTTTGAAATTAGGGACTACACCTTGAGCCACTCCACCAGCCCTTTTTTGTGAAGGGTTTTTTCAAGATAGGTTCTCATGAGCTATTTGCCTGGGCTGGCTTTGAACCACAATCCTCCTGATCTCTGCCTCCTGAGTAGCTAGGACTACAGGCATGAGCACCTGGCAGGATGATGGTTTCTTAAGGAAAAAGCAAGGTATCTTTTCCTGTTCAGCATTCCTTCTGGATCCTCCAAAAAACTCAGCCTTGATCTTAGCTTTGTGATATTCTGAGCAGATTTTTCCCTACAGATTTGTGAACCAGTGCATAGGTATTTTTTTTAGACTGCTAAGTCTGTAATTTGCTACACAGCAGTAGAAAATAAACTTACCTCCCAGTGGACTTGATTCCTAAAGTAGGGACTCAAATAGGACCCGAAACACAAGCATGTACTCCTGCCTCCAGTCTCACCATCCAGGAGAGAGGGGCAAACCCAGCTCTTCTATCCCCTCCCACCCGTCCCTCAGGGGCATACCAAGGAAGCTGCTTTGCCTGGCTTTCCAAAGAGCCTGTGCCTCATCAGACCCAGGAGAGAGCTTGACCAATCTCTACTTCCCAGGCCTCAGAGACCTTTGGCCAGCCCTATTGATCTAGACTGCTGGGCAGGCAGTGGGACCAACTGACAGACGCCATGAAGGCTCTGCTGCTTCTGGGGTCCCTGCTGGCGAGCCTGGATTTGGCACTTCTGGTGAGGCTGTGGGAACCAGGATTGGGGCAGGATGGTTCTGGGGACCCTATCCCATCCTTGACCTCTGCCCATGACCTGCTGGCCCAGGCGACTGGGAGGCCTATTTGGGAAGATGAAGCCGGCCCAGAAGGCCCAAGCAGAGAGATGACCAGCTAGCACTGGTGACTGTAAGGGCACAATCTGCATTTCTGGAGAACACACAGGAGGAAAGAAAGCTCCAGTTTTGTGAGGAAATTGCTACATTTCTGGACTGAGAGAGGAAGTGGGGACTAGCAGAGAGTTAGGGAGGCTGACTTTCCAGGCAAACTTCCTGCCTTCTTCTCTCTCTTGAAGGCTCCACCTTGGAAAGCCCCCAGGGGGTTTAAGCATGGTGCTGGACCCAGGGAACCTATAGCAGGTAGGTGGCCTGGCTCCTGCCTTAACCTTGGATGGGGCTGAGTATGGTGGGTGTGTAATCTCAGAGCGGAATCAAGCTCTTGTATTGAGGGAGGGGCTGGATCCTGAGCAGAGCTCTACTGACATTCAGACCTGAGTGCCTACTCTGTGTAGGCCTTTGGTCTTTAGTGCCAGGGACTCAGAGTGATAACAAGTTGTGTGTTCCTGAGGGAAGGGCTTGGGCTGGACCTGATGACCGACTTAAGCCTGACCGGTGCTTTGGAATGTGCTGTTGATGCCATCACACCTGGGCTCCTACAAGATTTCCTCAGTTTCCCCATCTTCCTCCCTTCTTTTTCCTTTCCTTGACACATCTCAAGGGCATTAGTCATACCATATATAGAGGCCAAATCCCTGAATGGGCAAAGAGGGATCCAGACCAGGGCTGTAGGCCCCAGATACATCTTAATCCTGGCTTCATTACCTATGAGCTGGGTGACCCTGAGTGAGTGGCTTGATTTCTCTGTGCTTCAGTATTCCCATTCATAAAATCAGTAATAGTGAACTCCAGGGCTGGCAGAGTGGTTCAAGTGGTAAGAGTACCTGCCTAGCAAACATGAGGCCCAGTGCCACCAAAAAAAGAAAAGTGAATACTTTAAATTGTAGAGACAGAGAAATGAATTGTTGGTTGTTGTAAGGCATGCAGCCCCATAGCCTGGTACTTGACAAATGCTTTAAAAATCTTAGCTCTTTGAGTGGGGAGTGTAGCTTAGTGGTAGAGTGCTGCCTAGTATGCACGAAGCCCTGAGTTCAATCCTCAGCACTACAGAACAAAAATCCTACTCTTATTTATTAAGCTCCACTTAGAGGAGGGGTTCCCACCATCTCCCTCTTCCTCAAGCCCTCCATAGCTTCACCCTTCTAGGCACTAAATATTTACCTAGAGCATGCAATGTAATGAGTTTGTGAACAGGGGACCCTGTTGCAATGAGCCTGGCCTGGTAGGGGCCTACATACATCTTGAGCCTACTTTTTGTGATGATTTTTTTCAAGATAGGTTCTCTCAAACTGTTTGCCCAGCTGGTTTAGAGCTGCAGTTCTCCTGATCTCTGCCTCCCTAAATAGCTAGGATTATTGTAGGTGTGAGCCACCAGCACCTGGTCTGGCTGACAGTATTATTATTATTACCATTGTAATCCTAAATAGCTAGGATTACAGGGGTAATAGGGGTGAGTTACCAGCACCTGGGTTTTGTTTTGTTTTTTGGTGGTGTGAGATTTGAACTCAGGGCCTTATGCTTGCTAGGCAGGCACTCTCTCACTTGAACCACTCCACCAGCTCTTAAAGATATTATGCTTTTTTGCTTTTTGGGCAGGATCTTACTAAATATCCTGGGCTGGCCTTTACTTTTTTATTTTTTTGGTGGCACTGGGGTTTGAACTCAGGGCCTCACACTTGTTAAGGCAGGCACTCTTACCCCTTGATTCACTTGATTCCACCAGTACAATGCAACCCTGGACCTCTGCAGCCTCTCCTTGCTCCACACTAAGCCAAACTGCTTGCTTTCCTCCCTTTTGCCTGGCCAACCAAAGTGTCCTGCCTTTCCAATCACCTACCTAGGGTCCTCCTGTCTGCCATCCCATTTCCATCTTAAAGGTCCAGCCCAGATACCACTCTCTCCTTTTGTCATCCTGGCCCTGCTTTGGCCTCCAACAAGTGCCACCTATGCTTTTTTGGTTTTTTTGTGGTACTGGGGCTTGAACTCAGGACCTTCATCTTGAGCCACTCCACCAGCCCAATTGTTTGTGAAGGGTTTTTCGAGATAGGGTATCATGAACTATTTGTCTGTGCTGGCTTCGAACTATGATCCTCCTGATCTCTGCCTCCTGAGTTGTTAGGATTACAGACATGAGCCACTGGCACCTGGCGCCACCTATGCCTTTAGCACCAAAATAGCAGCAAGTATTTATTGAGTGCATTGTATGTGCCACGCACATAGAGTTTTACAGACATTATCTCGTTAAGCGTGATAATATTTCTCTGAAGTGGATACAGTTGCCATCCATACTAATTCTGGTCTATAAAGTCATCATGAATGTCAACTTCACCAATATTGTTAGATCCCTGTGAGCCTCTGCTTATGCAGCCACCAACACATACCCTTGTTTCGTGTGAGACTTAAAGACATTTTATTCATTGTATATGGTCATTCATTAGCATTGCCCTCACTGCCAATGCAGTGATGTCCTGAACGAAGCTTCTCTAACTCCCACTATCCACAAGGCGCACTGCAGTCCCTCAGCATAGGCGTGGGACCATTTCCAATGTCAGGATCACCCACGAAAAGCAAAAAATCTGAAAAGCCCTGCACAAACAGACTGTGAGAGGGTACTTGTTTACAGTATGAGAGCTGAATGAAGAAGGCAGAGTGTCATCCTATTACATCTTGGTGGGAAACTGCAAAATTTTCACCACTCTGCACATGCCCACAAATGACCATGAACGCATCCTAAGTGTTTTTTTGTTTTGTTTTGTTTTGCTTTGCTTTGTTTTTGTTGTGCTGGGATGGAACCCAGGGCTTCTCACATGCTAGGCAAGCACTCTGCCCTGAGCTACACCCTCAACTGAATTAAAATGATTTAAGTGTTACAAATAAATGTTAGCAAGTAGGCTGATTTGCAAATATGGAATTGTGAATAATGGAGATTGACAGTATTATTATTATTACTATTATTGTTATTTTTGGTCTTACTGGGGTTTGAACTCAAGCCTCATACTTGCTAGGCTACCACTTGAGCCATTCCTTCAGCTCTTTTATTGTGTTGGGTATTTTCAAGATAGGGTCTCCCAAATTATTTGCCTGGGCTGGCTTTGAACCACGATCCTCCTGATCTCTGCCTCCTGAGTAGCTAGGATTACAGGTGTGAGCCACCAGCACCTGGTCTGGCTGACAGTATTATTATTACCATTTTACAGATGAGGAAACTGAAGATCAAAATAAGTGACTTCAACATTCTACAAATTTTTTTTATTTATTAGTATATAATTGTTGTACAGGGGGAATTCATTGTGACATTTATGTATGTGCTTACAATGTATCTTTTTTTACCGAGTAATTAATTTATTTTTGCAGCATTGGGGCTTGAACTTGGGGCCTTGGCTTGCTAGGCAGGCACTCTATCACTTGCCCCACTCCACCAGCCCATAATATGTCTGAATTAGGTTCACCCCCCCACCCCTCAACAAATATTTGTTAATTTCCAACTTTGTGTCAAGCACTTGACTAGTCTTTGGGGCTACAGACTTGCCCAGGGTCCCACAGCCAGCAAGAGGTGGAGTCAGAAATCTGTTCTAGCTAGACCCAACTTCTTTTTTTTTTTTTTCTTTTATTCATATGTGCATACAATGTTTGGGTCATTTCTCCCAAGACCCAACTTCTCAAGCAGGATGCTGTCTTGAGCACACAAAAATCTTTTCAAGGGTCTATCCTTTCTCAAGGTCAATCAGACCCCGTGAGGTGAAGCCTGGGCGACTGTGCACAGGGGCAATCCTCAGGCCGTGTGTTATTCTTGCAGCTCTCACTATCACCGGCAAGCCCTGCCACTTCCCCTTCCAGTATCACCGGCAGCTGCACCACAGATGTACCCATAAAGGCTGGCAAGGGCCCCGGCCTTGGTAAGACTCCCCAGCAAATGATAACCGAGGGGCCTGGGATGGATGAATTCTGCCTCTCCACTGTCCAAGGACCCTGCTTGGAGAGAGCAGGGTAAGGTAGGGTGGGTGGGCCAGCCCTGGGCAGAGCAGGGAAGCCTCATCTACTTCTTCTGCAGGTGTGCTACTACCCCCAACTTTGATCAGGACCAACAGTGGGCATACTGCCTGGAACACAAGAAGGTGGAAGGTACTGCACACAGCCTCTGGAGTGGCCCAGGGCCCTCTCCCCTCCACCTCTCCTGGGTATTCTCAAATTACACACACTGGGATTCTGAGCCCAGTCCCTCCCTCCCTACCTTTCCTCCCTCCCTTCCTCCACAATACCCTTCAGAAGGAGAGTTCTGAAAAGTGGTAAGATCCATTTTGCAGACAAGTAAAATAAGGCCTGGAAACTTGGAGTCCCAAGATTCCCATGACAAGTAGATTCAGGGAGGGACTTGGTCCCCACCTGTGTGACTCAGGCTCCTCACACTTCCTTGGGGTGTCCATCTCTCAGACCACTGCAGCAAACACAACCCTTGCCACAAAGAAGGGACGTGTGTGAACCTGCCTCAAGGCCCCCAATGCCTCTGTCCAGAACACCTCACTGGGAAGCATTGCCAGAGAGGTAAGGGTGTTGTGGGTAGGGGAAGGTGACATGGAAAAAGGGCAGCCTGGGCTTACTGAAGAAGTCTCTGGATCCTTGGGATTTTGTATGGTCCCAGACCGGAAAGAACATTGCTGTCCCCCTTCCACTCCTTCCTCCCCTTTGTCACCAGAGAAGTGCTTTGAGCCTCAGCTTCTGCGGCTCTTTCATGAGCATGAAGTATGGTTTAGAACTGAATCAGCAGGTGGAGTTGTCAAATGTCAATGCAAGGGTCCTGGCTCTCACTGTAAGCCGCAGCCCAGCCGGGGTAAGTGGATGGGTTGGGAATTGGGGTTGGGGGAGTAAGGCTGAATGAAGGTAAGGAGAAGATGGCAGGAGGCTGGTTGCCCAGGGGTGGCTCAATTTGCTCTTTCCTGGCAGCCTGCAGAACCAACCTGTGCCTCAACGGTGGCCACTGCCTAGAGGTGGAGGGACACCGCCTGTGCCATTGCCGGGAGGGCTACACGGGACCCTTCTGCAACTTAGGTGAGTAAGCCAGCCCCCACGTGGCTGGGGGCTTGCCTAGCGGGTAAGGGAGAGTGGGAACTCGGATAAGAGGGCGGACACAACCATCCCTGACTGTCTACCTAGACACTAAGGCCAAGTGCTATGAAGGCCGTGGGCTCAGCTACCGGGGTATGGCCCGGACCACGCTATCCGGTGCACCGTGTCAGAGGTGGGCCTCGGAGGCCACCTACCGGAACGTGACTGTGGAGCAAGCACTGAGCTGGGGACTGGGCCACCACACCTTCTGCCGGTAAACGGAGTGGGGCGGGGCAGGGCAAGCCTCTGTACCCCAGGGCTCTCAGGGGATCCCTACGCTCTGACAGGAAACCTTTTGTGGTTTCAGGAACCCAGATAATGACACCCGCCCGTGGTGTTTCGTCTGGAGCGGCGACCGGCTGAACTGGGAGTATTGCGACCTGGCACAGTGCCAGGACCCAATCCGGGTCCCCGTTGAGCGTCCGGCCCTGCCTGTGCCCCATCCTACAGCATCGCAGACACATTCGTCCACGTGGGTCTCCCCGTCCTCAGCCTGGACTCTTCCCATAGAGTCCGTCACGCAGAGGACACCCCTGCCCAGGACCAGCCCTGTGGGCTGCGGACAGAGGTTTTTGAAGCGGTTGTCCTCGCTGAGCCGCGTTGTTGGCGGACTGGTGGCACTGCCCGGGGCGCACCCCTACATCGCCGCACTATACTGGGGCCACAGTTTCTGCGCCGGTAGCCTCATCGCCTCCTGCTGGGTGCTGACCGCAGCTCACTGCCTGCAGAACCGGCGAGTACTTGCCCACCCAGCACCCCTCCGGGACCCAGCTCCTCTGTCCTCGGAGCCCAGCTTCTGTGCCACACCTAAACCTGGATCCAGCTTTCCCCTGCCCCTGCAGAACTGATCCCCAGGAAAGGGCTTGGGGGCGCAGAGGGCTTCCGCCAGAATCTCTGTGGTTGACCTGAACACGCTGCCTCTCCCCTACCCCGCCCGCAGGCCGGCTCCGGAGGAGCTGACAGTGGTGCTCGGCCAGGATCGCCATAACCAGAGCTGTGAGCACTGCCAGACGCTGGCAGTGCACTCCTACCGCGTCCACGAGGGCTTCTCGGCCATCACCTACCAGCACGATCTGGGTGCGTGGGGCGCCCCTGCAGGGATGGGGAGAAAGGGTGGGACGGCTTGCGGCCCCAGGGTCGCAGCCTAATGCTCCTCCCCGCCCGGGTTAGCCCTGCTTCGCCTGCAGGAGGACGCGAACGGCAACTGCGCGCTTCCGTCGCTTCACGTTCAGCCGGTGTGCCTGCCTAGCAGTGCTGCCCCACCCTCAGAAGCTGAGACCGCGCTCTGCGAGGTGGCCGGCTGGGGCCACCAGTACGAGGGTAGGCACGACAAATGGGGGTGGGTGGGAGACCTTTGGACACTGGGGCAGGACAGAGAAGCCCACAACTTTGGTATCGAGGTCCCCAAATCTTTTGGGGATACAACGAATTGCACTTGCTCCTGGCTGTCTTTGGGCACCAAGCTCCAAGTGTTAATTAGGACACTGTCCCCGCGCTGGAGCAGCGGGAGGACGACATTGGGAGCTAGGTTCTGAGACACTGAATGGGTGGTGGAGTTGGGGTTCCTGCTTCAGCTCCATTCGTTCAAATTCCGGCTCATCTCTGGACCTCAGTTTCTTGCTCTTGGGCTTGGTGTGAGGGTAGGAAGGTCATGGGTGCATGCATCCTCGTTCAAGTGGTGAGTGCCATCGGGCTGTTGTGAGGGAAGGTACTCTGGGTTCACAGGAGCAGAGGAATATTCCACCTTCCTGCAGGAGGCACAAGTACCCTTCATCTCCTTGGAGAGCTGTTCTGCCTCCCACGTGCATGGAGAAGCCATCCTCTCTGGAATGCTCTGTGCTGGCTTCCTTGAGGGAGGCACAGATGCTTGCCAGGTAAGCCCTGAGGCCTGGTTTGCACCTTCCCCTAGCCGGTCAAGCACAGGTCCAGGGTGCTGAGTTGTGTGTCCCCCACCCAGGGTGACTCTGGGGGCCCTCTGGTGTGTGAGGACAAGGCCACAGAACACGGGCTTACCCTGAGAGGCATCATCAGCTGGGGTTCAGGCTGTGGCGACCGCAACAAGCCTGGTGTCTACACCGATGTGGCCTACTACTTGACTTGGATCCAGGAGCACATGACTTCCTGACTGGTTATTCCCTTCTGGTTGTTTCTGGAGTAGCTGGGGCATGACCATGGAAAATAAGGATTGTGTCACATTATTCTGAGCACCACCTGCCAGCGGTGCAGGAACTCAATAAAGTGCTTTGAAAATGCTCTTCAAAGCTGGGCACCTGTGGCTCAATCCTGTAATCCTAGCTACTCAAGAGGCAGAGATCAGGAGGATCCCTGTTTGAAGCCAGCTTGGGCAAATAGTTCATGAGATCCTATCTCAAAAATACCCATCACAAAAAGGACTGGCAGAGTGGCTCAAGATGAAGGCCCTGAGTTCAAGTCCCAGTCCCACAAAAAAAAAGCTCTTCAGGGGGCTGATGGGAAGTGCAAAGAGGGAAAACTTGTGGCACAGCTGCTCCACTGTCCTCACAAAACAGGGTCTGTGAGACCTTAATCTAAGAGAGTTACATTCTCCCCTGGCAAAAGCTTACTCAGCCTTACTATGCACCAAGCCCTGGCCAAGGTGAGCACAGATTTTCCTCATGGGAATGCATCATTTTGAGTTTACAGAGTGGCCATTCTCAGCCTTGGCTGGGGTCACCTGGGGGGCTTCTTGAGCCTATCTAGGGGTCAAGATCCACCTGAGATCAATTAAACTAGCATCTGGGGATGGGGTGTGAGTTGTGGTATGTTTAAAATTCCCCAAGTGATTCCACATGGAGCTCAGATTGAGAGCCATGATTAGAAATAGTTCACATTAAAATGGTGGTGTAGACCTTAAGCCTGGCGACTGACCCTCCCCACACACCCAAACTCGCATTAGTGTAGTGCTTCTCTGAGCCCCTTGACCACCAGCAGCATAGACAAGGAGCTTGTTAGACACGCAGATTCTTAGGCTGCATTCCACACTACTGAAGCAGAAACTCTGGGTGGACCCAGCAATCCAACAGCCTTCCAGGCATTCTGATGCTAAGGCTTAAAACCACCATCTGGTGGCTGAATGGTTCCCTTTCAGGCTCAGGTCCAGCTGTCCAGACATAGCTTTCCTTTATTTTTGACGGTGCTGGAGTTTAAACTCAAGGCCTAGTGTTTTCTAGGCAGGCGCTCTACCACTTGAGCCACTTTGAGCCCTCCTTTTTGTTCTTAAATCCATCTTTTTATTTTTGGCAGTACTAATATTTGAACTTAGGGCTTTGGCTTGTTAGGCTGGAGCTCTACCACGCCTCCCGCCCCTTAAACTCATCTTTCAATGGGCTATTTAAATTGGGTTTTCAGGGGTCATTTGGAGTCCTCCTCCATTCCTTCCTACAAGCTAACTTTAGAACTTCCCCACGGTTAAAACGCGAACGCCCCCACATTCTCCCACCTTAGGTAGCCCCTCTGTGACGTCTCCATGTGTCCTGTCACAGTCCCACCCCCGCATACGTCACAGCGCCGCAGGTGTTCCTAGCTCGCAGCGCAGCAGGACACTCTTCCAAGCGCAAGGAGGAGGGGTGCACTCTGAAAGGGATGGGTGACTGGAAAGGCTACATCTGTGCGGTGCTGCGGGACCAACGTATCGATGACGTGGCCATCGTAGGCCACTCGGAAAATCGCTGCGTGTGGGCATCGCGGCCCGGGGGCCTGCTGGCGGCCATCTCCCCGCAGGAAGTAGGTGTGCTCACGGGCCCCGACCGGCATACCTTCCTGCAGACGGGCCTGAGCTTGGCGGGCCGCCGCTGCTGTGTCATCCGCGACCACCTGCTAGCAGAGGGAGACGGCGTGTTGGACGCACGCACCAAGGGCCTAGATGGACGTGCGATCTGCGTGGGCCACACGCCACGCGCTCTCCTAGTGCTCATGGGCAGACGCGGCGTGCACGGAGGCACCCTCAACAAAACTGTGCACGACCTGATCCATGGGTTGCGCATGCAGAGCGCGTAGTGTAGCGGGACAGCCAGGCCACCCACAGAGGCTAAACCGGAATAAACTGAATTGGGCGTCATGGGTTCATATTTCGATTGCGCATTGAGAGTTGCAAATAAGGAAGCCGGATTTTGGGAGGATTTTTGCTGAAGAGTCCTTTGGGGCTGGGATTGTAAATCTAGAGGCTGCCCCAGCTCCTAGCCCCACTTCCACTTTCCATCAGGGAATATCTTGCAGAGGCCTCCACCTTTCCAAGGTCCTGGGACTCCACAGCTGAAAAAGAATTCAAGGGTGAAGGCCTTCTCAAACCCTCTACCTCAGGGCTTAGCATTCTTTCTTACAGAAAATTTCGCACATCTAAGAGGATCAACAGTGAAAGGAATCAGAATCCCCTTCTCATCCTAGGAACACCTCTCCCCAGGCGCACACCGAGGACCTGTGAGGCTAGGATTTCAGGGTAGAGGTCAGTGTGCAGTCTTCCTTTAGTATCTTTGGAGATTGGTTCCAGGACCTCTATGGACACCAAAGTCTCCAGACACTCAAGTCCTTTGTATAAAATGATGGAGTATTTGCACGGAACCTAGCTATATTTTCTGCTGTGCTTATAATACAGTGTGAAGGCAGTATAAATAGTTGCTATGTTGTATTGTTTAAGGAATAATGACCAAAAAAGTCTGTACATCATTTCAGATGCAATTAAAAAAAAATCCTGCAGGGCACTAGTGGCTCAAACCTGTAATCCTAGCTACTCATGAGGTTAGAGATCAGAAGGATCTCAGTTTGAGGCCAGCTGGGACAAATAGTTTGAGACACCCTGTCTCAAAAATACCTAACACAAAACAGAGCTGGATGGAGTGGCTCAAGTTGTAGAGCACTGTCTTAGCAAGCATAAGGTCCTGAATTCAATCCCCAGTACCATCAAAAAAAAATCCTACCTGGCACCAGTGTGTCACACCTGTAATCCTAGCTACTTAGGAGGCAGAGATCAGGAGGACCACAGTTCCAAGCCAGTCAAGGCAAATAGTTCATGAGACTCTATCTCCAAAGTAACACCAAAAAGGGCTGGCAGAATGGCTCCCAAGTGGTAGAGTGCCTGCCTAGCAAGTGTGTGGCTCTGAGTTCAAACCCCAGTACTACCAAAAAAAAAAAAAAAAAAAAAACTTATCCATAGTTGTAGAATTAGCAGATGCACAAACAGCTATATTTCTGCCCCTCTATTTGGTGGAACACTAACGAGGATTGTGAGTGGGTGACAGAATGGGAATGGTTGTTCAGAGTGCAGTTCTGGGGCTTCCAGTTACCTGCATCTCCCCCTACATGCCTTCAAGGAGAGCTCACTGAAGGCACTTGTCCAAGAGCATCATAACTGAGTCTGAGGTCTGAGCCTACAGCCTTTTTTCCCTTTAGGGCCTAAAGGCTCCTGGACTATAACAAAGAACTTCCATTCCCTTCCCCTTGTCCCAAGCCTCAGCTCCAGGGTACCTTGTGGAAGAGGAGGAGCTGCAAACCTTGAGGAGGTTTAAATGAGGCCTAACTTACTTGCCCAAAGATAGAGGACAAAAATGAGAGGGAGGGGGCTGGAGGTGTGGCTCAAGTGGTAAGAGCACCTGCCTAGCAAGCACGAGGCTCTGAGTTCAAATCCCAGTACTGCAAAAACAAAGGTGAGAGGGAGGGTTTGGTCTCCATCTTCTATGTGCTGGGGCCCCAGGAAAGGCCAGTCTTGCCAATCCCCAACATCACTCACTCTGGAGCACTGAATTTAGCCCAGCCAAGGGGGGAGAGGATGTGACTGAGGTAGGTGGGTTCAGAGGACAGGGGAGACCAGAGGAGACCCTGCCTGGTAGGGGTCAGAGCATGGAGGTGCACAGTCCCACTTACACTTGCCTTTGGGGTGGCCCCAGGCCCTAGGAGGGGCTTTTGGGGCAATGGATTGGGACCATGAAGGCAGGAGGACCAGCAGAGTGTTGGAGCTGCTATTGTAGTGAGTGTTAGAGTGGAGGTAGTGCTGCTGAACTCCAAGCCTTGGTCTTGCTTTCCCCACCACAGATGAGAGCAAAAAGACTTCCAAATACATACTGAGAGTTTAATTCCTTTTGTCTATCAGGTAGGACTGGGAAGGGGTTGTAGTGTTGCTGCAGAAGGCCTGAGTGAGGATGAGGAGAAAGGCACCATGAAGGAAGGAAGGTGGCAAGGAGGGGGTGGAATTCAGTCAGTGACTCAAGACACCCACATCTGAGCACAAGCAAACAGCTACCCAGTCCTATTCAGAGCCACCCTTACTCCTGGCAATCATAGTCTTCTGTACACAAGGACACAAGTGTATGCCTCATAACACGTACAGAGGACCCAAAATCATACACAAATACTGTGCAGCCTGCACACAGTCTCCCACATCTGTGTCTGCACATACATGCGGGCTGTACACAGTAGACTTTCATGTCTGTACACAACACACAGACTCACCCATATCGTATGCATGCATGCACTCTGCCTCTCACAAAAACCAGATGTCTATGGGCCTGCATAAGGATAGGCACCCAAGGGTGGCACAGGAGCACATACCCAGGGTAGCATGCACCTACTCACACACACACACACATACCTCTGCACAGGCCCTTCCTGCTCCAGGTGGTCGTCTGGCCCACAGGCTAGAGGCGGGTGGCACTGTGGTGAGCAGGCAGGGCACAGCGAGGGGAGGGTGTGGCAGGAGGCAGCTCCTCCAGGAAGACCCTGGCAGGCAGTTGGGGTGAGCGGGGCTCAGGCCTGGCATAGCACAAGGTGGCACGAGTGATGAGGTGGTCCAAGGGCTGCAGGGAGTGCATCCAGTGAGGCAGAAAATCCCATGTCTGCAGCCACTTGGGTAGGCGTCCAGGACTTCGACTCTGAAGGACATTGACCAGCACCACAAAGACCAGCAGAGCCCCGAAGGGCGCACCCACACCTATCATGGCCTGCCAGCCTGCCATGGAAATACCAAACACTAGCGAAGGCAATAGCAGGAAGCACATCAGAAGGTAGAGGACAGCAAACCAGCGGTACTTGGCGGTGAGTTTTCCCAGCGCTTTGGCCATGCAGATGGGCAGGCGCGTGCAGGGCAGTGGGTACCACAGCAGGATGCCCGAGATGTTGAAGAAGAAGTGACAGAGGGCAATCTGTATGGGAGGAGCCAGAGGGGCTGAGGTGGGCAGGGGCTCCCATGTCAGCCCAGCAGAAATAGATCATAGAGGGCCCGACCTCATCAGGACAGCAGGATAGTCCTCACTTTGGGCTGACATGCCTCCAACTCACACTTGGGTGGCTGAGCTAGCTATTAAAATATTGAGGTACTTCTGAACTAATGGTACTTCTGGTAAATAACCACTTCCTGAACGCGCCACATTCTCCTACTGACTCCTCTGTCAGGAATTCCCCAGCAAACACTGCCAAATTCTAGCAGCTAAAAGATTAATAGTAGCTTTCTGCTCACTTGCTCTGGGCTCTAAATTGGTCAGTATCTCATCAGTGACTCCTTTGCTTCTAGAACAAATCTCCCTCTGCCATCTGTCTCTCATCCCTAACTCTACTCATCCTCCATCACCCAGACTGGGTTAGGCCCCTTTTACAGCACTTCTTCATACTCCAAATCTGACTTGCTGTTTTTATTGGTGTAATTAATAAGCAGTGTCTCCCTATTAGAAGTTAAGGTCTTGCCAGGACTGGTGGCTCATGCTTGTAATCCTAGCTACTCAGGATGCAGAGATCAGAAGGATGGAGGTTCAAAACCAGCCCAGGAAAATAATTCATGAGACTCTATTTCTAAAATACCCAACACAAAAGGGTTGGCGGAGTCATTCAAGCAATAAGAACACCTGCCTAGCAAGCATGGGACCCTAGGTTCAAACCCCAGTACCACCAAAGAAGTTGAAGTCTTGAGAGTAAAATCAAGTCTACTTTGCTCAAAGTGGTTTCCACAGAGCATACATAGGTAGCCTTAGTAGGCAGTATTTGACATGTGTCATACCCTCATATGGCCCTGACCCCAACTCCAGCCCCATCCTGCTTCAGACACCAACGTACCTGGAAGGAGCTGGACAGCTTCTCCCTGGGGCTGGCCAGGGCTGCCAGGATGGCAGTGGTGGTTGTGCCGATGTTGGAGCCCAGTGTGAGTGGGTAAGCTCGCTCGATGCTGATCACACCCAGGCCTGGTGGGCAGGGAAGAGGATGCAAGTCCTCTCCAGCTCCCTTCCTCATCCCCTCCCCCACCACTGCCCAGCATGGCCACTCACCGATGAGTGGGGTCATGGCCGAGGTGAACACAGAACTGCTCTGGACAATGAAGGTCATGCCGGCACCCACCACCATGGCAAAGTAGCCTGTGACCCAGGTGAAGGGAGCAGGGAAGTCTGCAAGGAACCCCAGTGCCAGCAGGCTGGGTCAGTAGGAGGGTGTTGGAAGAGCAGGCACCTTCCTTGGAAAGGATACTTTTTACTCCTAGGACCTAGCCACGCCCCTGCGGCTTCCCCTTTCCTTGCTTTGACCTTGGATTAAGAACCGTTCTTGCTTGCACCATCTTGCTACCATGCCTTTGCCCTGGCTGTCCTCTCTGCCCAGAATATCCTACTCGGTATTTAAATACAGTCATACCTTAGTATCCACGTGAGACTGGGTCAAGGATGCCCACGGATACCAAAATCTGGGCACTCAAGTTCCTTCTATAAAATGGTGTAGAGCCAGGCACTGGTAGCTCACGCCTGTAATCCTAGCTACTCAGGAGGCAGAGAGCAGGAGGATTGCAGTTCGAAGCCAGCCCTGGGCAAATAGTTTGAGAGACCCTATCTCAAAAAATTGCTTCACAAAAAAGGGCTGGTGGAGTGGCTCAAATGGTAAGAGCGACTGCCTAGGAAGTGTGAGACCCTGAGTTCAAACCCCAGTGCTGCCAAAAAAACAATAAATAAGTAAATAAAAATAAATGGTGAAGTATTTGCACAGAACCAGCACATTCTCCCATATGCTTGAAATCATCTCTGGATTACTTATAACACCTAACACAATATGTGTAAAAATAGCTGTTATACTGTACTGTTTAAAGAATAACAACAAGAAAAAAGTCTGCATATGTTCAAGGTCGATGTGGGTTTTTCCTCCACATATTTTTGATCCATGGTTGGTTGACTTTAGAGACTTGAATCCCACAGATAGAGAGGCTCAACTCAGATTTCACCTCCCTGAACCCTCATCCCCATCCCTGCTCTCTTTTCTCCTCCTGCTCTGAGCTCTTGCAGCACCATGGATGCCCCTAGGGCTGCATTTGAGAGCACAGGCTCTGAGCAGAGTCTAGAGGCCCTGCGATCTGGCTCCATCTGTGTCACCTCAGACTCTGCCACTCTCCCTTTGCTTAGTCTGCTCCCACCATGCTGCTGGCTACCCTCCTGTAACACAACCTGCCATGCTGCTTCCTGCCGCTGAGCCTTTGCACTTGCTGTTCCCTCCACCTGGAATGGTCTTAGTCTACATCTTTTTAAATTAAAATTTTTTTTCAGTGCTTGGGATGGAACCAGGGTCTCAGACATGCTAGGCAAATGTTTTACCACTGAGCTACACAGCTAGCCTTCATCTGCTTCTTTTTTTTAAGGTTTGTCTGTCTGTTTGTTTATTGAGACAGGGTCTTGCTACAGGCCAGGCTGGCCTCAAACTCACAATCCTCTTGCCTCAGCCTCCTGTGTGCTGGGACTACAGGTGTACATTGCCATCCTGGCCCCTTCATCCACATCTTGACTCTTCACTTAAATCTTATTATTACTAATTTTTTTTTTTTCAGATTCTGGGGTTTGAACTCACAGCCTTGTGCTTGCTAAGTAGGCGCTCTTACTGCTTGAGTCATGCTGCCAGCCCTTGACTCATCGTTTAGGTCTCTGTTCGTGTCTCCTCAGGCCACTGACCACCCATCAAAACGTATTCCACATTCCATAGTCTATTGTGTTGCCAGTTTTCTGTCTCTTGGCAATCACCTTGCTCTTCCTTCAAATCCAGCCCCCTTACTAATTTTCTTTTTCATTGGGAGTCTCTCCCAATGACCTGTGACTCCCCTGAGATCAGGATCCATCTCTAAATACCCCAAGAGGGTAGCAAAGATGGGAGCCAGGTGCGGGGTTGGGGGGGAGGGGTGAGCTCTTAGCAGCCTGACACCCAGCAGAGATTTATTGTCTACTTGTCAATTAAAGTAAACAATGGCTTCTTGAGAATGTCCCCTATCCCCCCTGCACTCCCCTACCCCCCCGCTAGAATGGAACCACAGCCAAGGCAGCCCCAGTTCCTCAGCTCTCAGCACCTCAGGAGCCTCCAAAATTACCTTATCTGACCCCTTCTTTGTTCACATGGGTAAACTGAGGCTCACAAATTATAAGGGTTTACTCAGACCTAGGCAGTGTCTGAAGGACCCACCCTGGGGCCCTGGCCAATCCTGTAGCCTTCCTATCCACCATTCACAAGCTCACCGGTGTTGATGACCTTCTGGATGACCTTGGCCACCTGGCCCTTGAGCAGGGAGTTGAGCATCTTGACAAGGAGGATGAGGCAGGTGCACAGGAGTACCAGGGAGCTAGCCAGCAGGATGAGTCCCACTGCCAGATCAGGGAGCCTGGTGTCCACAAAGAGGTGGTTACCTGCAGGGGTGGCATCAGGCTGCTGAGAGCTCACCCTGTACCTGTACCTGTACTTCCACTCTTTGCCAACCCTTGGATTGTGAGCTTAAGGCCACACCTCAGGCTCTTCTAGCCTCTGCACCATGGCCCAACCCAAGCCCAGAAATTGGCCAGACTGCAGCTGTGCTTCCTGGGTTGGACACAGCAGTGGCCGGGCAGGGGATGGTCCTGTTTCTGCCTTTGTCATGTGGGACCCCTCCTGTATGTAGGTACTTACATTTCTCCATAGTGGCATTTCTAAGGGTCAGGCTGGAGTTGGCCTCTGCCCTGGACATGGAGGTGGAAGCCTAGATTAACAGACATTTGATTTAGAGAATCTAGGAAAATGCAATCTGGGGTTGGGACTAAGATGGGTTAAGGAGAGATAGGGGAGTTGGGTCTCCTGGCTCTGCGACCATGGACTGGTCACTTGTCCTCTCTGGGTCCATCTCTTCTCTGAAAGCCTATGGATGAAATACTTGCCATATAGAATGTGATCATGCTCACACCTGTAATTCTAGCTACTAAAGAGGCAGAACTCAGAAGGATCACTATTCCAGGACAACTCTGGGCAAATAGTTTGAAAATATCCAATACAAAACAGGACTGGTGGAGTGGCTCAAGTGGCAGAGTGTCTGCCTAACAAGTGTGAGGTGCTGAGTTCATGACCCAGTGCCATGTGGCCATGGTAAGCTCTCTGCATATTTCACCCCAGCACTTCACTAACCTGACTGTCACTGGGCCCAGCAGGGGCTTCCTGATTACCAAATCTAGTGGCTTCTTCTCTTTGTCTCCTTCACATTAGTGGCATGATCCTCTTTTCCTGAAAACTCTCCCTTCCCCACATGTTGTCACCAACCCTTTTCTTGATGCTCCTCCCTCTTCTCCAGTGGCCTGGCCCCCATCCTCTCCACTAAGTCATGGCTAACCATGTGCCGGTCTCCTCCAGCTCAATCCCTGACGGGATCTGGTGGGAAGGGTCCAGTTGGTGGGACAAAGGGTCCAATCCCCAAATCACCCTCCTCCCACCTACTATAAGTGTAGCAGGAGGGAGACCCTAGATTCAGAGTGCCACAGGCCTAGGCAGGTGACCTAAACGAGGAGCCCAGGTTGTATGGGGAGTTGATAGGGAGTGTAGCAGCTATTTAGCTGTAGGCCATTGTCACAACCCAGGGGTATATCCCAGCAACTCTAATTGCCCAATTCTATAAGAGAAACCACAATTCTTGAGTTTTAAATAAAATCTCCCAGTTTCTAGAAACGTTGGAACCACTTTGAACCATACTTTGGGATTCTAGGCAGTAGAAGTAATTCTAGGCCAGCAGAAGCAGCCCCATCTAGACTGTAGACAGCTGATCTGGAGCCTCATTGGATTAAGGACTTATTATTTTATAATGCAACCCAGGGATCCTTACTTCCCCCAGAGCCCAGCAACCACCCAGGAGTGACAGGAGAAAGTAGGGGTGGCTTGGTTGGGGAGAAGTCCACCTCCCAAAGTGGGTACTAAGCCTCAGAAAAGAGCAATGATTCCCCAGGGCCACACATCACCAAGGGTCACCAGTCCCCCAGGCAAAATGCAAGCACTAGGACTTCTTGTTCACCCCATTCTTCCTGTCCTGGGAGCTGATATGGGCCCATTCCCCTGGCTCTACCTGGGGACCCTCCAACCTCCCTAGCATGGAGGGCAGGGGCTTGGATGGGGTGTCAGCATGTCGATGTTAACAACTTCTTTAGTTTTTGTTCCACACTGTGTGCCATTTAAAAATACATGATGGGGGCCAGGCGCCGGTGGCTCACACCTGTAATCCTAGCTACTCAGGAAGCAGAGATCAGAGGATAGAAGTTTGAAGCCAGCTCAAGCCAATTGTTCATGAGATCCTATTTTGAAAAATACTCAATACAAAATAAGGCTGGAAGAGTGGCTTGAGTGGTAGAGTCTTGCCTAGCAAGCATGAGGCTCTGAGCTCAAACCTCAGAACCACACAAAAATAAATAAATAAACAAACAGATAAATAAATAAAAACAAAGTATATGATGGGGTGGAGAGTATATCTCAGAGGGAGAGCATCTACCTAACAGGCATTCCATTCCCAGTACTCAAAAAAGTTAAAAAAAGAATTCCTAGTTTTGTGGAGATAAGAACTGTTCATGGCATCTGGTTTTTCATGAGGTTCATTTCAGTGGAATGTACTCCCCCAAGTGGGCCAGTTAGCTCATTTTGATGGTCTTGGGGTGCCATCAAAACTGGGGGCCTGAATTGCAGGCCATGAAACCAGGAGAAAATCATCTCTGATGGGCTAGATTAGAAGATGAAGTTGAGAGAGTGATGGTAACTGCTGTGCAGGTAAGGGAGAGAGAGAGCTAGGGATTTGCTCTCAGACAAATCTGAACTCAAATCCTGCTTCTCACACCCATTACTTTGGGTCAATCAGTCATGACAGTTCTTTGAGCCTGTTTTCTTTGAAGCAGGATAATAAAAGAATGTTGGAAAGATTAAAGGAGAAAATATATGTAAAGCCCTCACTTCTGGGCCTAGCTCATGACAAGCCTTTACTAAATGGTGACTCCAAATAAGGAATAGATGATTTTATTCCCTGGGCCTATCCAGGATCACATGGTGTGTGATTGACTTCCTAGGGCAGGACCAGTGGCTCCTGCAGACATGCCAAGGATACCAGCCCTGTTGGGAAGGAGCTTAGACCTTCCTTGGGGTCTGGAGCCCTAGGAAGCAGATGCCTCCCTGAAATGAGTAGGGACCTGGCCAACCTGTGCTCCACTGGCCTTCCCTGAACTGGGCCCAGGGGTCTCCTGGGAGAGGGTCTTGCGGACACTGGGAAGCCGGAGGAGGATGAGGAATTTGCTGATTTTGTGCCTTGGGGTTAGCAGACTTGGGAAGAGCAAGGCCAAAGGCTAAGACCTCTGTATTTTGTTTTGTTTTGTTTTGAGATTGAACCCAGGGCCTCATACATGCTAAGCACATGCTGTACATGCTAAGCTACATCTCCTGATCCTGGAACCTCAACCTTCCTAGCTGGGGTTCTATGGCCCTGGCTGAGGGAGTTAGGGAGAATCAGGGACCCTAAAGTGCAAGAAGGAAATATACAGGTAGAAGGAGGTGAAGAGAGGGGTCCACTGCGAAGCCAGGCTGGGGGAAGAGCCAAGGTAGCAAGCACACCTGAGGCTTTCTTGCAGGACAGAAAAAGGAGACGCCAGCTTAGCTAATAGGGCTGATAGGAATGTGAGGCATATTCCCATCCTGGCGTGGGAGTGGAGTGTGGGTAGGAGTGTTGAGGGGAGAACAGAATGAATAAGCCTCCTCCTGCCCCCAGCTGAATCATTTCCAGCTGTGTGATATAGAATCACACACTTAACCTCTCTGGGCCTTAGTTGCTTCCTTCACGACTTGAAGCATAATTCTTTCCGTCTGCCTTTCTCCAGGGGCTAGCTGGGAGCATCCTGGAAGAGGGAGTAAGGGAGTTAAGTGCCTACAGGGACACCCCAAATTAGGGAGAGGCTTCTGGGAACTGAAGGAGGTGATTAAGCTCACAAAGGACTGTCAGGCTTCAAGAGTCCTTCCCCAGAGGGACAAACACCGGGTGTGGGCCTATGTAATCCTTTCCCTCTGGAGGAAGGGGAGCTCTGGGGCCTTTGTTCTTCTGGAAGCTGGAGGAGCTCTGTGCTCTTAGCGCCATCTGCTGGCGAAGAGTAGAACTTCACCTCGAAGTACACCGCCCATCTCGGGGAAGAAGACTCAGGGTGGCTGTGATCACCCAGAAGCATTCAAGCACAATGGGCAGAATGGGAAGTGGGCACGTTTGGTGGGGCACCAGATTGGTATCTGGGAGAGGCAGAGAGTTGAAGAGTCAGGATTCCAGCAGGATGTGCACACTGCTTCAGTTACATGAACTAAGGCAAGCCTATTGCGCCTCTCAGAAGCTGTTTCCTCATCTGTAAAGTGCCGTGCGATGATCCCTGTTCCCCAGGTTGTAAATCCTCACAACATGCTTGTTTAAACCAGGCAGTTGTGGTTGGCAATCCACAATGTGACCCCACAAAAAGGTAATTCCTAGATCGGTGCCAGGCCCTCGGATCACCCAGAAATGTTCGAAAAAATCAAGACCACCTCTGATTCTTCTTTCCCCATCTGGGAAGCCTCAGGCTCTCATCCTCTCCTCGGTGACATAGGTTTCTTGGAGACTGGTTTGGGCAAGGTCAGGATCTACATGGTGAAAACTGGAGGCCGTGAGAAGAGGTTGGAAAAACCTTGATGCAGTCTTTGGTACAAGAGCCACCAATGCACATCACAAAGCACACACATTATTACCTGTGTCACATTCTGGAAGGGAATAGCCCCAGAGGGAGCTGAGAGCAGGGGGCTCAGATCCAACACCCCAGTTACTCTTCAAGCCAAAAAAAGCCATCCTTAGTAAGGAAAAGGTTTTCCGATGGAGTGGGGCATGAACCAGTGCTTCAGCACTAGAGAGAAACCCGAGGCAGCCCAGACGAGTGAACTTGGGCAGTACTTCAGTTTTGGCTTGTGTAAATGGGGCCCTTGTGTCCACAGCGCTTGCTGGCATTGCTTGGGACTTGGTTAGGTGAGCCAGTACAGGCTGCAAGTCCATACCTGCTCAAAGCTGCAGCAGGAGGACAGCAGGCATCTCAGAGGGAGTGAGGTACAGAACTCTCTTCCATAGCTTGTGTTTTGTGAAGATCAAAGCATGCAATTTCTGTCTCTTCCAGATTTTGCTCTCAAGTAGGGAGACTGGTGAGTCAGGATGCCCAGAGAGCAGGTGGCTGATGTGTCAGAGAGGTCACATATCTAGCCTCAAAGCTGTCCACGTGGGCTTTTTGTTGTCAAACTGCCTTGAACTCTCAGAAGGGCCGAGCTGGAGATGTGTGCCCCTTCAGATGCAAAGGAACACTGGGGGGTGAGTTCATTGCATGTTTTCTGTTCATAAAAAGCCAGTAACATCAAGCAGCAGTGGAGAGACTTGTGCCTACACTGTGGGCTTGGGATTTCCTCATAGCTTGTTCTAAATGAAGTTACTTCTTATATGTAAGCAAATTTGACAGCTTATGGGTTTTTTGTTTTTTTGGTGGCACTGGGGTTTGAACTCAGGGCCCCAGGCTTATAGTACTCTACCACTTGAGCCATACCCCCAGTCCTTTTTTTTTTTTTTTTTTGCTTTAGTTATTTTTCAGGTAAGGTCTCATGTTTTTGCCCTGGCTAGCCTTTGACTGCCATCCTCCTACCTATGCTACCCCATAGCTGGAATTACAGGTGTGAGCCACCAGGCCCAGCCTTAAATTATGCTTTTAATGAAGCATTTTCCTTTTCATGGCTGAGTATGGAAGTGTGGTAATTGCCTGCTGGTTCTCAGTTACCTAAGACTTATGCCTTGTATCACAGGCACAATGGCCTGTCCATGAGTGTCCAACCAGTTGGAACAGTTCTTCATTCTAGGCAGTAGAAGCAGCAGTAACAGTGCAGAAGGACAAGGGACTCCAAGAGAAGGAATCCCAATCCCAGCACAGTGGCTGCTATGCCTCCATGCAGCCACCCAGCTGTCTGGCTCCTGAGCAGATTCAATCTCCTCTTAAATTTCCTGCATATTCTTATAGCACTCTCCTGCACTCCTCCTCACATTTCCTGCACTCCATGCTGCACTTGGACTCTGGAAAACTTGGGCAAGTTTCTTAGCCTCTTTGAACCTGTGTCTCTCCCTGTAAACCAGAGGATTGAGCCACATCGATGGTTCTTAAACTTGAACTTGGGGCAGACCTAGAGGACTTCTTAGAGCATGGGCTGCTGGGCCATAGGAGGTCCTGCTTCAGAAGGTCTAGGGAAGAATGTCTATTTAATACACATTTGATTTGCATCTGATTTACTTCTATTTTTTGCATCTGTAATAGGTCCCCAAGTGGTATTGATGTGTTGATCAGAAAACCACTCTTTGAAAACCACTGGGCTAGAATAAGTACATGCCAAATGATTGCTAATTGATTGGTGATGTCTACCTACAGCTGTGCTCTGTATGTATGTGTGTCTAAGAGGGATAGTAATATCCACCACCAGCAAAATTTCATAGGAAAAGAGATACACATTTGCTCTTCCTGGCTAGATGAGATGATCTCAAGGTCAGGCTAGAGCACATGAAGGATGAAAACGGCCGGCAGTTGTCTAAAAAGGGAGTCTTCTCACCTGGGGCCCAGCCTGGCACTCACCTCCATGGGGTCTGTGTGGCACCAGATCCGGATCAGACTGTGGTTCCTCAGAGATTCATCCCCTGTGGCAATGCTGGTGATCACAGACTTGTCCAGCTACAGGCAAGATGAGGGCAGGAAGAGTAAGGGTAAGGGCCCTTACTACCCCCACCCCCACCCCAAGCCAGGTGCCCTGCCCCCACCTGGATAATGAGCTTCGTGAAGGGCTCCGTGATGATCTTGAGAAGATCAGGAGCATCGCGGCCACCACGGATGTTGAAGGAGGCAACCACGAGTCCAGTAATGTGGTGCAGGTAGCCGGTGGCAGCCTCCAGGGGCAGCAGAACCAGAACGGACAGCCAGTTAAAGCAGTCGTGCACTGTGGCCCCTGCGAAAGCCCTGGGCAGGGAGGCCACATTGCAGGGTGGCCCAGGGCCAGGGTGTGCTCACACTGGGGATTCCTGGTATATGGAGCTGCCTTCCCCCCAGCAAACAAGCCCCCACCCTCCTACCCCAGCTCACCGCCGGAAGTCAGTCCTGTCCCCTGCCTGCATCAGGGCCACAATGGTGTTGGTGACAGAGGTTCCGATGTTGGAGCCCATGATGATGGGTATGGCAGAGCTCACTTCCAGCACTGGTGGAAGAGATCTCCTAACTAAATGGATGGTGGCCTCCTGACTTTGCCCCCATTAACGGTTCCTATGTGTCCCAAGACTCACATCCCAGCCCCAGCTGGCCTTTCTTTCATATTGTAGACTCAGCTACAGGTCCACGTGAGCAGGCACTCGTGTGACTAGATGTACACGCCCTGCACGGGTGAATGTGTGCATGGGTATGAGTGCACTATGAAAATACATTTGTGTCCTCGTGTGTGCACACATACACACAGTGTCATGGCTTGTTTTAGGTGTCAAGCTGGCTAGCCTGAGTACCCAGTTATTTGATCCAGCACTAATCTGGGTGTTTCTGTAAAGGTTTTTCATAGATGTGATTCTCAGCTACAATTGGCTGACTTTAATTAAGGGAGATTATTCTTGACAATCTAGGTAGGCCTTGTGCAATGGGATGGACCTTACGAGCAAAACCAAGGTTTCCTTGAGAAAGAAGAAATTCCACCTGTGAACAGCAGCATTGGCTTCTGCTTAAGAGTTCAAGCCTGCACCTGCCTGTGGATTTCAGACTTGACCAGCTGGTGCTACAGCCGTTTACAATAAATCACATATATGTATGTCCTACAGTTTAATTTTTCTGTTTTCTCTGGCTGATGCAGTGAGTGACTTGATGGGCTTTCCTGGGGGCTATGCTTCCCACTTGTCACCTTCCACAGCAACTAGGGCTCCCCGTCCTGGCTTAGACTATTGACCCTGCTTTAGAGGACAGAGTAGGAGATGCTAGAGCCCTGATCTTTGCCCTCAGCCCCTGGTCCCAACTCCTGCCCCCCTCCCTAGTCCCCTGTCCCATAATGCCCAGTTCCCTGGGGCCAAGGCTCTCTCCCTGGCCCTGCTTGGCCAACTCACAGCCGGAGGACACCATGCTGACAATGATGGACGTGGAGGTGCTAGAGCTCTGCACCAACACGGTCACCAGGATCCCCACCACCAGTCCTGCCACCGGGTTGGACAGGATGGCGTTGTCCTTAAAGATGTCACCAGCCACCTTTCCTGGGGAGTACAAGCCAGTGTTGTCAGGGGTCCTTCTGAAACCCTCCCCAGCCTCCTCTACCCAAGGCCCTACCTCCAGCCAGTTGGAAGGCTGAGCTGAGAACATCCAGGGAACAGACAAAGAGGTAGAGGAAGGCCAGCATCAGTGGTACTCTGAGGAGTGTTGTGCCAACCTGGCGCAGCTTCTGGGCCAACCCAGGCGCTGGAGGTGGGTCAGGCATGAGCACAGTGGGCAGGGGCCCAGAGCAGCAACTAACCATGTCCCTGCTATCCCCTGGCCTGTCCCACCTGGTTTTTGCTCCTCTTCCATGGCCAGCTTGACAGGGAATGGGTCATGGCACTCCAGGACCTCTCCATAGGGACAGTTGTGCTCTGTGAGAGCCACTGGGCTCAGGCTAGAGAAGGTATAGGCAGATGTCCCTGGGATCCTGTGCAGGACTGTGGAGGGAGGCTGGTTAGGAGTTCCTAGAGGCCTCAGGGGTCCAGGGAGAGGAAAGGCAGGGGGAAAGGCAGAGGCCTCACTCCAGAAGGAGGTGACCGTGAACAAAGCAAGTTGTGGGAGCAGTACTCACCCTGTGGGCTGGGCACGTAAGCAAAGGCTGCCCCATGCATCACATGTCTCCCACGAACTGGGAGTGGGGAGACAGCTGGGCTTCCCAGTCTCTCTCCATAGGGTATCATTCTGGGTACCCACAGTGAGGCCTGTGTGTCAGGGGATTGTGGTAATGTTGAATGACAATTTCTGTGCCCTGGACACCCACAGCCACACACATGCACCTACACAAACATCCATTGTGTGTGGGATTCCATCCTCCACCCCAATACACCCAGAGATGCACACTCAGGTGCTCATCACAGGTTTGGGCATTCATTCCCTGGTTCATGCATTTATTCAGCAAGGTTTTTGTTGTTGTTCTTGTTTGTTTGTTGCCCTCAGAAAGCTCAAAGTCTACTGAGGAGACAGATGTAAATGAAATAGTCTCTCAATGGATGGAGAATGGCAATAGGTGTTATGACAGATATAGGTATAGCTATAGTGACCCATGGCAAAGAAGGAAGAGACAATCAAGCTGAGATGAACAGTTAGGAGGAGGTAACTGGGGAGTGACAGAGAAGGGCACCTGTGCAAAGGCCCTGTGATAGGAGCCCAACTGCACAGAAACTGGGACTAGCCGTGCATGCAGTTGGAGGGAGCCAGAGAATAAGTGGCGTTAGCAGAGGCTGCAGGTGTGGGCCAGGGCTAGACTATGCAAGAGCTCTGTCCATCCTGAGAGCAGAGAAGAGCTAAGAACACATCCTTGCTCATGGACTCAGCTGAGCACACACTTAAGGGAGGGTCCCCTGGCTTGGATCTAAGGTGATGAGTTCCCTAACAATTAGCCCTCACTCCTCACTCACCCTCTGGAGGGGCAACAAACACTGACAGTCTTCTCCATGAATGAGGCTCATACCAAGAGTGACCTTGCTTAGGCACCCCCTGCATGCACCAGGAGTTCTGTTGACTACTGGGACGGGACACCCCAGCCTGCCTCAGCATCTCTCCCCTGTTGTCCCAAGGGTCTTTGGCTTGTGGGGGAGTATGCAGAGCTGAATTCCAAGGACTCCTGTTCTTGCTGAGTGAACCAGGCTGGGCAGGGACTGAGCAGAAAGGTGGAGCACAGATAGGAGAGAGACAGGCTGGGATGTTGGGCTGTTTCCTATTTAGAGTTGGGTTCTGGTTGGAACATGGGAGCCCTGGACTCACCTTGAGGTTTCAGCTCCAGCTCAGCAACTCAGGGAAACCTAAGGAGGAGCTGAGACCCTTCTCTTTATACCTTCAGGTCAAGGGCAAAGTCCCTAGAACCCTACTGCTCTCCCCTGAGATTCCTTACAGTTAATTGCTAATCGTCAGCTCTGCAGGGTGAGTCTGTGGCTAGGCTCCCATCCCCCATACAGACAGGCTCCCATTCCCCATATAGACAGCCTGAACCTGACCCTGCCAGGACACAGATGAATCATCCTCCCCCTGGCACAGATCCTGATGCTCTCAGGTGTCTTGTTCCCAGGGTCTCCAAAGAGATTCTGTGACACCTGCCTCTACTCCTCATTCCTAGCCCACCAGGAGCCCCAGAGAGTGAACCAAACACCCTGTGGCTTTACCATGCATCTGAGTGTCTATGGATCTGTCTGTGGTCTGTCTGTGCATCTTGGGGGGGGTGATTTGAGAGGAGAGGGAGTGTGGGATGAAGACAGTACCAGGAGATAGACTCAGAGAGGCTTAGTGTGTTGAATTGTGGAGGGTCTCCAGTACCAAGGATCCAGAATATGACACTGAGAAAAGTTGGAAACAATGGCCATCCTGGGAAGAGCTTGGTCTGCATTTTATTTTGGTCTGAATTTTAAAATGGCCCCTTCAGGGTGGGGTTGGGATATGCCAAAAGGGAGGGAAGTGGCAACACCAGCTAGGAGGCTGGTAAGATGGTTCAGGGGAAAGATGACGAGGCTGAGCTAAGGTGGGAACGGAAGGGGTAGAGAGGAGAAGACCCCAGGATACTTGGTCAGTAGAACTGATGGTGGAGAAGGAGAGAGAGAAGGAGGGAGGGAAGAAGACGAAACACACTAGTTGGGGCAGGAGATGATGACAGCATGAAGTCTATGCAGAATTCCAAAACACAGAGAGGAGTCTTAGGGAGGTTTGGAGAAGCTGGCTTCCCTGCCATGGGACTGTGGATCCTGAGTGGGGGCCCAAATTTACAGAGTAGTGAGAAGATAGTTTTTGGTAGGATTAAAGATATGATCAGGCCGGAGCACAGCTCGATTGGCAGAATGCTTGCCTAGCATGCACAAAGCCTGGAGTTCAATCCCTAGTATTATGAAAAAATTTTTAAAAATTAAAAATCAAGATATAATCTAGCAACAGTGGGTTCAATTCTAGATCTAGCTTAGAGAACTTTTTGAGTAACTTTCTTAACATTAATAGTTCATCCTCCTTCAAGTCCATCCATCTGATATGTCCATCTACCCATCATCTATCCATCCATCCACCCATCCAACCATCCATTCAACCATCCATCCAGCCATCCATCTATCCATGCAGCCAACCATCCATCCATCCATCCATCCATTTTGCCAGTTGGTCAGTCATGTGTCTGCCTATCCATTCTTCCATTCTTTTTCTTTTCTTTAACAGTACTGGAGCTTGAACTCAGGGCCTTGGGCTTGCTAGGTCTTGCCCCTGCCTATCCACTCCTAAGCACATCAGCTGAGTCCCTACTCTGGGCCAAGACAGGCAAAGTCTAGCCACTCTTCTGGTATACACAAAGGTCCAAGCAATCCTTAAGTCACTGCGATTTTCACGTAAGTCACTTCACTTATAAAAAGGCAATTAAAGATCTGGGCACTGGTGGCTTACACCTGTAATCCTACCTACTCAGGAGGCAGAGATCAGGAGGACTGCAGTTCCAAGCCAGCCCAGTCAAAGACTTTGTGAGACCCTATCTTGAAAATATCCATCACAAAAAAGAGCTGGTGGAGTGGCTCAAGGTGAAGGTTCTGAGTTTAAGTTCCAGTACCACACACACACAAAAAAAGGCAATTAATGAGCTAAATGACCTGACTCAGTGCCTAGAATGGTCCCCTCAGTCTGTTGTTCCCTTCCTGCTTTTGTTCTTTTCACTGAGCCTTTGGGATGCTGAAGTGCTCCAGCCACAGAGATGGCCCCAGCTTCTCTAGATGAGCCCTATTTCAGGTTAACAGCTCTTTGTACCCTACAGCTGTCCTTTGATTGCTCAGAGTCATTCTCTGAGCTGCAGTCAGTCCCACTTAATACCTTCAAGGGTGACCTAGCTCCAGGCCTTTTCCATCAAGGAAGATAGGCATTTCTGCACAGTTGCCCCTTTAATTTAACAGTGATTAACTGATCAATACTTAATTCACAGTCTAGGCATAGCAGTGGTCTGCTGATGTTCTGTAGAAGTGGCTAGGAGCAGACAACAAGCCTAGCCTGAGTTTGGGTCCCAGCTTTGCCACAAGATGACAGCTTAGGCCACAGAATGAGCAAGGGAGAGGGGAGGAGGAGGTGGAGGGGCTGCAGAGACTGAATTATTATTATTTGATAGTGCTGGGGATTGAATCCATAGCCTCACACAATGCTAGGAAAGTGCTCCACCACTGTGCTGCACCCCAGCCTGCTGTGCTAGGATTGACCAAGCCATGGTTTATGACTGTCTGCCAGAAACCTGTTTCACCCTGAAAAGTGTCCTGGTTTGGGCAAGAAGCTGTCTAGTCAGTCAATTTTATGTAATTCTGGAGAATGGAAGTAGAGTTGACTATCTCAGAGGGTCTGCTAGAAAGGCTCCAACGCACAGCCCAGTAAAATAGGAAACAAAAATAATCCCACCTCTCAGGAACACCACCATAACATTTTGGAACTTTTCATTCTTTTTTTTTTCCTGAGTCTTTAACTCAGCACGGGCTTTTTTTTTTCTTTTTGGCTGTGCTGAAGATTGAACCCAGGCCTCGCCCATGCTAAGCAAATGCTCTACCTCTGAGCTGCACAGCTCCAGACCCTATTTTATTTTCCTTTTTTTTTTTTTTTTGAGATGGTGTCTTGCCATGTTATGTAGGCTGCCCCAAACTCCGGGGCTCCAGCAGTCCTCTTGCCTCAGCCTTCTGAATACCTGGGTCTACAGGTGTATACCACTACACAAGACCAGGTGTTGTGTTTAAATAATGGATGCATTACATTCCATCATGTACCCTAATATACTTAGTGAGGCTTCAATGTCTCAGAACCTCTTCGGCCTGGAGGGAGTGGGTTAGGTAGGGTTGGGGTTCATGCATAGCCAGGGGGTGTTGCTGAGGCAGGGGAATATGCTTGTAATTGAGTTCTTGGGTCAGAAAATCTCCATCCTGGGATTCAGAGGCCCTGTTAAAGTCACCTTAGGGATGGACTCAGAGGCTTTCTGGACCTGAGACCCCACACATAAGCACCTTAATCTCCCATAGCAGGCACAGAGACCCTGGTGTACGTGACCTGTTCCTTTCCCCTCCCTGCTTGGGTCAGTCACATCCAAGTGCTCCTGATGAACTCGGGGTGCTCCTCCTTTTAATAAGGTTATGATTTTTTGGCATTTCTGGTTCATGAGCTTGGGGGTGAGTGTGGGAGGCAGTTAGTTATTGATGAAAAACATCTTAAGAGACATAATTCCAAAATGCTGTGGACTTACACATCCACCACTTTCAAAACCTTTCTGTCTCATCTCTATCCCCCTGCTCATCTAATACCCAACCAACTTGCTCCCTCTCTGATTGCTGATAGGGTCTGTGTGTCCCCTAAATGGTGACTCCTGCCTGGCCTGCACACCAAAGCTCTGGCCATGGCGTCCCCCAGACCTTCTCTGGGCCCAGCACCCAGCTGATTAGGGGTGTCTCACACTGAGAAAAGGCACCAGGAGGAGGAGCCATTTGGGGGGAAGATGCTCAGTTTTGCACGAAGCACCCAGACTCTCAGTCTGAGCCAGACTCTGAGCAGATCATGATTGACTCTTGTTTCTCCTCTTCGTCCTCACCTCCAAGCCTCCCTCTGATTCTCTCAATTTTACCTCTCCAGGGACTCCCTGATCCTGTCCAACATCTCTGTGGCCCCATCCCTGGGCTGAGCCACCCTCACCTCTCTGGAGGACTGCAAAGGTCTCCTAAGTGCTCTGCCTGGCTGCCCCCAACCCGTTCTCC